AAAGAGAGTGCAATTGTTGCATTTGAAGATTAGATTTGTGCTACACTTAGTTTTAGGCTAGTTGTCTAAAAATTTGGCTGAGCGTGAATCAGGTACACCTTTCTCATCGAGTGTATTGCTCACGCCGTGCTCAACCACGAATCCCAGTGAGTGAAGAACTTGGCGAAAGCCCTATTGGGAAGCCTGTGGTGTTTGCCGTGTATTTTGGGCCCAGTGACTAGGTTGAAAGGTATCACATTATGGGGCATCCAGGGGTAGTCACAGCCACAATGCAGCTCAGTGAGCAAGTAGACGATCACCACATTGAATGTACATCTGCTCAGAGGATGGCAGAACAAGACGTTCAGGGTTACGACAGAGATTATACTATCGACCCACAATTCAACTACAGATAACCTGATGGTTTCTCTGGCCGTGATAGGACTGGTGTATTTGTGGTGAACTGCGTGGACGATTCGATACACTCTCGCATCGCTGTGCATGAATCTATGCCAGAAGTAGAATATACTGTCATACAATAGCAGCGCACAGACCACCTCGCAGCACACACGCCCAAAGCTTGGGGCTCCCACCCCGTCCAAGCGCATGTGTCTCCTTGGAAACAGAAGATCAAACGCATACAACGGCACTAAGAACATCACAGCTATAAATGCATACTGTGCGTACTCTGCCATTGGAACGGCCGCCCGCGTATGCCATGCTTTGTGCATCGGTCGCAACTCATCGGGTATTCGCTTTTGTCGTTGCCCGCTATTTCGTTTCGTAGCAGTCCTATCGTTCATGGTTACACATAAGTTGTCCAGGCCTGTGCTTCCCTTCCCCATACAACGCTGAACCACGCACATCAGTTTGTGCCAGTAAAACCGAGCACCAAAGTCATGCAGCCACCAAGCGAATATAAAGAATACAAAGCTCAGTACAGCCACAGTGGGCTCGAAGCTGTCCCACATGTACAGAGGGGAGTCTAGAAGCTGTAACCATACGTTCCCTATGACAGCATCCATTATCGTAGGATTGTATACGTAACACACTGCCAAAGATACAAGCGATAACCTTATAAACCAGGTAACAAGGGTCACGTTCGCCCCATCGTCTCCAGCGCTACTAACCATGTTGCCTCCTTTCTTAGGGTTGCTATGGTATTGGGAGGGCGGTTGGGTACCATCGTACAGGTTCACCGCCATGCTGCTGCTCTGTACGTAACAGTTTACTTAACCTCGACACATGACCTTTATCAGATATTTATCACACAGAAAACATGAAGAATGATTCGCAGCACTCTCTCTCTCTAGTCTGTAGAAGAAGGACGGTCAGAGTGGAGCTAGTGTGCCACAGAGGGCCAGTGGCAGTGGCGTTCTGTACAATTGTTGCCGACTCTTAACAAGTTGACAGGCAGTCGACGTCAACCCACTTCAAAAGTTCACTGGTTCAGCATTGTGCGATAAATAAATAAAATCAATAAATACATACAGTGGGCTTATGTAAATAAATACAAACATAGCCTTCTGTGTTAAATTGTTTTTTTTAAATAAATCGACACTTTTTCAGACAAGAAATAATCTGTCCAGGCATGGTCCAGGCAACCAAATTCTGAGCACCTGGATAATTTAAAAAAATACTAAACTGTTTCTGGGCCCAAAAAACGAATATGTCCGGTTTTTGTCTGGATAGTTTTTATCGATATGTAGTGACCTTTTCATAGTAATAGTGGGTGGCCTTGTGATATACATCATCACAGAAAAAAAATGGTGCACACAAGAGTGCAGAACCGGGGTCTTCCGATGTTCCGGACACGTTCTCAGGACAAGTCAACTCTCCCCTCAGAATATAAACCAAACTTAGTTTTTCTCGGGATCTAGACCATAGCCCCACAAACATGTGGTAAATAACTATCCCACAATTCAACACCAATTTATTGATAGTACATATATGTACCACTATTTGTCCTTCGGACGTTAGTCCAATCAACCATATTTTGTTCTTTATTCTTTCTCTAGAAGGTCATGGCTATTATAAACCTTAACCAATTCTGTTCAGAAGCTTCTAGGTCCCAATAGGTTATGGACGATCATATACCGGATGACGACTCTGTTTTACAGATTGAGGTAGAAGCCCCACTACCACCCACCCCCAACGACGAAGGCTACGCTATTCCTCCCGAATAATTACCAACCGACAGGACTGCGCTCCTTGCCCACCGACCACGCCATCGCCTCGATGTAAGATTCGGTCTTTCAAGGCGATATTAATGCCTTAGAGTAATTAAACGCATATATATAGGTTAAGTATCGTGAAATTCAAGTAAATAACCAAAATGAGTCTCTTAGTAAAGTTAGGTATGCCTCGTGAAAACAGCAATACTCTGAGGGATTTTGAGGCTGAGACATTGCCTATATATAATCCTCTCAGTACTGTTTTCGCCGAAGGGATTTTATTTAGTATTTCGTTGTCGCTCTAGTGGAAACTATGGTATGTTTCGTTGGGGCGAATCCAAGACCTTAGTTATTGCATTATCCAATAATTTGCCACTTATCAAGAATTACCGACCTAGCCTTCATCAGACTGGCACATCTGGTTGGCTGAACGGAGGATAAACTAGGTAACGTTAATAGTCCCTAGAAACCTATATTCGGTTGAGCCATCTCGCTACCGAAGTATTCAGATATAAATAGATTTGGAAAGTAAATATAGCTCTATTAATA